TAGATGGCCAAATAGAGTTTAGAAAGGCAGGTCTAAGACGTGTGTGTCTCAGGCATCATTCAAATCACCCATTTCTGCCACCAGGGGTCTCATAGCAAAGTGCTTATGTTGTTAGACTAATAATTCCAAGACCTGGATGAATGATCTTAACCATGGCATTTCACATTTCACCATGGCAGCTGGAGAATTTACATGCAGTTAATTAAATCAGAACTTTTTTAAAAATAAGCTAATATGGTGACCATGAAATTCAGTGTCATAAGAAACCAATCCAATACATGAATGTCCTTTTAAGATAGGTTTTTCAACCAAGGATTTATGAGAAGGTTTCAAGGGACCCACAAAATTTCTGTAGTATGCATGTAAATTGTCATTGCATTATCTTCCATTTTTGGTGTAGTCATTAATAAAATCGTAATATTCACCTAATTTTTATTTTCTTTTCAACTGTTTCAACCTTACCCTGACCACACATGCAAATTGGTAAATGGAATAGCAGTGGCTACACTGATACTAGTTCAAAAGTGAACACAGACTGCGTATTGACACTGGAGCCTGTTAGCAGCCCTTGAAGGAACAGGAAGGGCATGTGGGACATGCCTCAGCAAGGTTTGGCTGATAAGGTTGAGTATGAGAAAGCTCTATTTTTTGTTGCCTGTTATTTAGCACTTCAATCTGTAAGTCATTGGGCCATGCTCCTTGCAAGCAATAAACAGTTTAAAAAAAAATTCAAAGCAATGATGAATATCAAGTTTATATCTTCTGAATACACAGTGTATAAGCACCAGCAGCATCCCAAGTAAGTAATGTTTAAACTGACACAAGGGTCTCTTGAATGATGCCTGAGACACACACGCCTTAGACCTGCCTTTCTAAACTCTATTTGGCCATCTACAATGTTAATGTTACTCTGTTTTTTTATTTCTGTCATGTTCCCATGACTAGAATATAAGAGTAGAGATGAACTGCTGAGGCTGCATTAGGCTCTGGTCAGACTGCATTTGGAATATTGTGAGCAGTTTCACATGCTGTATCTAAGGAAGGACGTACTGGCATTAGAAGGGGTCCACAGGAGGTTTATGAGAATCTTGGGGTTGAAGGGCATGTCATATGAGGAGAAGTACAGTCTGGGTCTGTACATGATGGGAGTTTAGAAGTAATGGGGTGGGGTGGGGGGGGCGGGGTGGAGGCGAAAGAGTGGATCTTATTTAAACTTAGAATACTGAGAGGCCTGGATTGAGTGGATGTGGAAAAGATGTTGCCATCATTAGGGGAGACCAGGACCCAAAGATGACACTTTTGAACTAAGATGAAGAGGAATTTCTTCAATCATAGGGTGGTTAATCTGTGGAACTCATTGCTGCAGAAAGCTGTGGAGGCCAAGTCATTGAGTGTATTTAAGACAGAAATAGGTAGGTTCTTGATTAGTAAGGGGATCAAGGGTTACAGGGAGAAAGCAGGACAATGAATTTGAGAAACATATCAACCATGATTGAATGGTGGAGTAGCCTTGATGGGCCAAATGGCCTAATTCTATTCCTGTATTTTGTGGTCTTATCTATTTTTGGGAAGGGAAGGAATTATTGGAATTTTAAGGTCCAACATACACACATAGATACAATAAAATTCGGAGTACAAGCTCTGAAAATATTTAGAAAAGATTTGGAAGGCGGACACATGACCAAAGTTAGTGTTCCAGGTAGCTGTCCAGGTGTGAAGAAAGTTCATACATGACCTGAAATGTTAACTCATTCTTTTCTCACAGATGCTACCTTATTAACTGAGTGTTTAGCATTGGAATTGAGAATTCTTGCTCAGTTCCAGCGATGTGATTTACATTAAACACAACAAATAATAAAGTTTCATTGTATAAGTATTGCTAATTGTTCATACAGCAAATTTAAACTAATGAAACACTTCAGAGCACCTAACATGAACATTATAAAACAAAATATGACACTGAGCCACGATAGGAAATATTAGCTCAGGTTTTGGAGTAGATCTGTAGCTCGGGTTGTGGGTGTTGAGGTTGGTTGGCTTGCTGAGCTGGTTTGTTGTTTGACAAAGGTGTCGTCTACGTAGCGTATCCATAGTTTAGGTTGGATTTGCGGAAGGGCAGTCTTTGCGTCACTGCTTCATAGCAGAAGACCACACCTTTGTCATCATTAAATGGACCAAATTAGAAGAGACACACAAACTCATAAACAACACCCTCACCGGAATAAAATTCACCAGAGAGGAGGAGAAGAACAAACAACTCCCATTCCTGGATGTCATGGTAGAGCGCAAGACAAATGGGGAACTGCAAACGAAAGTACACCGAAAAGCCACACACACAGACCAGGTATTGAACTTCAGTAGTAACCATCCCAGCACACACAAATGAAGCCGCGCAAACACTATTTAAAAGGGCAACAACACTGCAGCAACACGGAACTATGCCAAGAGGAGGAGGAATACCTCTTCCAAGTGTTCAAGGATAATGGATATCCAAAGAACTGGGTCAGGAGATGCCTACAGGAACAGCATCAGAAAGATTCCACACGCCCCGACACATTCATCACACTACCCTACATCAGTAACACGTCAGAACTCACCACAAGACTTCTACGACCGCTGGACATCAGAGTGGCACACAAGCCCACATCCACCCTACGACAAGTGCTCACCCAAACTAAAGACTCACTCCCCGCCATGGACAGGATCAATGTCATCTACAAGATCCCCTGCAGAGACTGCGAGAAACACTACATCAGACAAACAGGAAGGAAACTAACAACAAGAGTACATGAACACCAACTGGCTACAAAAAGACACGACCAATACTCACTCATCTCAATCCACACGGACAAGGAGAACCACGACTTCGACTGGGACAACACCAAGATCCTGGGACAGGCTAGGCAGAGACAAGCAAGAGAATTCCTGGAAGCATGGCATTCCACGAAGCATGTTATTAATAAACACATTGAACTCGACCTCATATACATTCCACTACGGAGGAAACCCAGAAGTGAGGCAATCCATCGCAATGGACCCCAGAGTTTAAAAACCAGGCGGGAAAACACAACGACGCTTCATCAGAGGCTGCACTGAGACGCTACCAAGCACGGTAACGAAACGTCTGCGGAACAACAAACCAGCTCGGCCAGCCAACCAACCTCAAATATTAGCTCGGTCAAAGAGAGAGTTTAAGGAATATCTTTAGAGGAAAAATTGAGAGATTTAGGAGAGAACCCTAGAGTTTGTGATCTATGGAACTGAAGATGCAAATGCTAGTGTTGTTTTAAATTATTCATTCATTAACTAGATTGCGTGTCATCGGCTGGGCCATCATTTTGTTGCTCATTCCCACTTGTCCTCGATGTGGTGGTGATGAGTTGCCTTCTTGACTCACTGGAGTCCGACATAGGTAGACCCACACAGTGACTCGCTGACAGTTGAATGAATAGTGATACGGTTCTCAGTCAGGGTGGCGTGAGTCTTCGAGGTGAGCTTGCAGGCGATGGCCTTGTCTTTCTGGGTAGTGGGGGTCACAGGTTTGGAAGGGGATGTTGATGACTTATTGAAGTGCATCTTGTGGATGATATGCATTGCTACCGCTGCACCTGTGACAAAGGGAATGAATGTTGAAAGTGGTAGATGGAGATCCGAGCAAGTGGTGTACTTTGTTCTGGATGCTACTGAGCTTCTTGTGTTGTTGGAACTGCACTCATCCAGGCAGTGGAGCGTATTCTGTCACAGTTGTGCGTTGCAGACAATGGGCAGGCTTTGAGGAGTTGGGACTGGAGAGAACCATTCTCTCTACACAATCCATCAGTAAACCACCTGTTTCTATGACACCTTTCTGTGTAGATATAAGAAATGCAATACATGTCTTCTTCCGGCACTGCTGCTCGTGACTCTGAAAAATCCTATGTTTGCCAAACATTTACAGCACTTTCTCCAACAATTTTTGCTGAACACACTATACAATTTTCAAGTGAGGCCCTGAAATCACTGTTGCTTTCACTTCCACTCTACACCATTTTTCACTCTACACAGTTTCAATAAAGCATCACGAACCCTTGAGCCATTGTACTTAATTTTTTTTGTCAGATGCATATCACAAACTTTGTACTTTTGGCATTGATTTTATCCACCCCTGTGGTCACAGTCTCATGTTGAATCTGACTGCTTATAACCTTGGCATTATAAATGACCTATGAATATATGGATTAAGAGCGGAAGTAGACCATTTAGCCCTGCAAGCCAACTCTGTCAATCAATAATATCATGAACGATTGGTTTGTATCTGCATTCAAATTCAGCATTCCATTTATTCACGATGAAATGTGATTTTGAGTTAACTTTCCAACTAATGTAATTTCCATCACAGAAGACCAGCTACTAAACATGGTGCACGTCTCCCTCCTTTAAACTGCTAACATACTCATTTTTACTTTATTTCCAAAAAATACACTATTACATTTTTGTCCCAGTCTTGAATCTTCACTTTTGCTAAATTTGAGCTAATCCTGCAAATGATTCATCATTCCTAATGATCATATTAAAAATACCCTCTTCATGAAAATACACAGATTTACATCCACCCATGATTTTGTCTCCCTACATGTTAAACCTCTGCTGGTAACATACTGCCACCTCACCTGTATTGCAATTCCCTGCCCTAGCTCCCTCCTGTTCCTTAAAACTATCGCTGACCACACACAAACAGCATTTTTCTCTGACTGAAAGTCCACATTATTCTTCATGGCTCTGCAAAATGACTTGGGATGCTATGCTGAAGGAACTGAAAATAAAAGCAAGGTGCTTATCAGCATTTTTGAGTAACACATCCAGCCATTTGCTGAGGTGAATACCTTAGAATGCCCAATGACATGGGTGAATATATTAAATACACACTGCCATGGGTGTGGATAAGAACTTGGGCAGAAAATCCAATCAGGCCTAGTAGGCTTTTTAATCAATAAAAAGATAGAATGGTCAGGAACTAGATATTGCTTCGCACTGACTTTATTTTGGTTCAGAAGACAAGCTTGTAGAAAAACAATACTTAGAAATTATAATTCATCCCTTATAACCTTTGATAGTTGATAAACAATTATTAAAGGGCAATTAAGTTTCTATATTCCCATACACATTATTTGAAGAGATTGACGATAACACAAATGGTAAGACTATTCGTTTGAGAAAAAGATGCAATTTCATATCAGACCCCAGTATGAGAAGGAGAAAACAAAGTGAAAAGGTTCCCTTGCAGTTGTCCTGACAGACTCCTTTAAAAAAAAGAAAATAAAAACCTTGCAAAATGTTATAGAATTTTAGTGGTAATGCTTGAATCTGGGCTCAAAGTCAAGTAATATAATCAATTCCAGGTTATTCCTAGAAGTTTATTAAATTTTCTATTCAAAAGAGATTTGGTCACTATTTCAGAAGGTATGCAGTGCACATGTAGTGGGTTGCTTGGAATGTGCACCACAGGCAGTCAATAACTTCTGCTTCCACCTGCCATCAGTCTTTAGCATTTGAAGACCAGTCATATGGAAGGTTTGTAATTTTGACGTCCCCTTGAGCCAAGAGTTCTTTTAGTGCTTTCTTCTTTGGTGAGTCTCCAAAGTGCTCCAACACCCAATTCAATAGCTGTAGAAAGGAACAAAGTGCAAATATGTTAAACTAAATATTTACCTTCAAATTGAATAAAATTATGCATTTTACTGAAAATGAACTGAAGCACCTAAGGTGCGGTTTAACCTTTTAAGAAAGATGGTGATCGTTCACCATCAGTGTATTATATAGCACCTTATCACCTCAGGCCATCCCAAAGTATTTCATTTCCAATCGGTTGCCTTTGTAGTGTATAACAGTCAATTTGCACTCCTAATTTTACAAACGAGATGAATAACCAGTAATTTTATTCCTTTGCTAGTTCTAAAATTGAGGGCAATGACTAGGAAAATTCTCCATCTTTCAAATTGTGCTATGGGTTTGTTCATGTTGACCTTTGACAATGCAGCAGCTTAAAAACTGGCTCTTCTACAGTGACTTTATTGTAATTAAACAGTCCTGCTTCACAGGCACTTTATCAAACAAAATTTTACCCCAACTCTCATAAAGGAAAGCTTGGTCAAAGAGAAGTTCATATTATAATCCCTGTTGTTGAAAATAACAATTTAGATTTCAGCATTAAACCTGGCTTGATAGATCATTAAGTTTTATTTTTACAGTTTAGTTACTTTGGTGATCACTGAACACATTCATATAAGGTCATCAATGTTTCTTGCTGTTAACAAAAGAACACAAGTTTATGAAATAAACAAAACTACATATATTTAGACTATTTAGAAACATCTTAACATAAAGAACGAACAGTAAGATTTAAACCTTGTCCCAAACAATATCCATTTGTTACTCAAATCCAGTGAAGTATCACTCCTATTCTAACTCTTCAATTTATCACTCAAATCACTCTTCGAAGCCTTGCCCCTCTAACAGCTTAAGACTTTGTTTTCCACGTCGGATGGCCTGAAGACTCCTACAAACTAACAAACTCTCACAGTCTGGCTATTTCTATAAATTAGAAAACTACCCTTCTGCCAGGTTGATACTTCTTCTGACCTGACAATTTGTTTCTGTGTAATAAAACTCAACTTTGCTGAATGTTCACAATGACCTCTCCAGGTAGCTGACTAAGACATTTATTTTTCACAGAATGGTTATGGTGCAGAAGACCATTCGTATCTACACCAGCTTTTCAAATAAGCATCATAACCTATTGCCAATCTCTTGCTTTTTCCACATACCTTTGCACTCAATTTCTATCCACGTAATCATCCAGTGTCTTCTTGAATGTCACAACTGAACCTGCAAGTACTGTCTTTTGTCCACTGCCCAAAGTGACTGTGACATTTGCAGTTGACTTCTTTTCAGGTGACTCTAATAGGCTGAATGGCCTGCTTCCACATGTAAGGATTCTATGATTCATTGCCCTCCTAGAGTAAATTCCTCCTCAACTCTATCTTAAATGTATGACCCCTTTATTCTGAGATGAAACACTTTTGTCCTAGACTCTCCCATGAGGGGAAACCACCTTTCTACATCTACCCTATCAAGGCCTCCAAAAATCCTGAACGTTTTAATAAAGTCATTTCTCATTCTTCTATATTCCAAAGAATACAGGCCCAATTTACTCAATCTCTACTCATAAGACTATCCCTCCATATCTGCTAACAATCTACTCAATCTTCTCTGGACTGTTTCCAAAGCCAGTATATCCTTCTGGAGACAAGTAGCCAACACTGTTCACAGTTAAGTTCTGACTACTGCCTTGTACAATTTTAGCAACACTTCCCTACTTTTATACTCCGTTCCCTTTGAAATAAAGACCAACATTCCATTTACCTTCCCTATTATCCACTGAATTTTGGTATTAGTCTTTTGTAATTTATGAATGAGGACTCTCAAATCCCCCTGTTCTGTAGCTTTCTGCAGTGCTTTTCTATTTAAATATTTTGTTATGTAGGTCAATGAGCATGAATGACAGGTGAGCGTTGCAAGTTACGAAGCAGACGAGAGATTTTGGACAATTTTACGCAAGGTGGGAAATGGAAGGCCACTATAACAGTTGGAATATTAAACTCTAGAGCTAATATGGGTGAGAGTTTTTATATCAGATAAACCAAGAAATCGAATAATTTTCCAGGGGTGAAGGTAGGCAATCTTATTAATGGCATAAATGTATGATGGAAGCTCATTCAAAAACTGATGGAATCAGTCACCAAGGAATGACATCTGTGGCACGGACTAATGACATCATCTTCAGTCTTCCTGAACTTGCATTGGAAGAAATTTCTACTCATTCCATACTGGATGTTATTAAGCATTGTGATGAATTGGAGGCAGTGGAAAGGTGCTGGTGGGGGAGAAGAGCTGTAATTATCAGCATACATGTGGAATCTGCTGTGTTTTCAGATTATGTCACTGAGAGGCTACGTGTATGTGAGAAATCGGAGGCCAAGGTTAGATACAGTGGCAACAGACCCATTTCCAGGAAGTAGTTTGACAGTTTAAATATTATGAAGTGTATTAAATTTAACATTTGCTAGCTTGGTTTCTAAGAGGAACTTTGACATGTAAAAGTCAAGGACTGCTGGATGTAAAAGTTGAGTGTTTTTCCACTTACATGGTGGATCCAATGTTCTTGTTTCACCCACTCATCAGGATTGAGCAGCAACCTCCCACATGAGGCTTCTGATCCCCACAACTCCTTCCATCCATTTCCCTCCCCCGCTGCCTACTTGCCTGACATTTGGTCAACCTTGCAGACAGACTGGCTACAGCTGGGAGACAACAAATGACTGGTCGATCAGGAACTGCTGTGAAGCACAGGAAATGCTGAGGGATGTCAATTCTTTTGGATTTACCCGATTTTAATTCAGCTCCCTTTCTGCCTCAGAGTAAAAATCCAGTCCAGTGTCTCAAAATATAACGTTATAAACACTCTTATCAGTTTACTTTCACTAGTGTTCAACAAGAAGGAAGGTTCATGTGACTATTTGTTTACCTTTTCATCTGTTCCGCCAAAATCAATCTTGTACCACTTGAAAACTTGGCTCAAGCGAACTTCCTTTTTGGACATATCAACTTGGCAGCCATCGGGACCATCAAGAAAAGCTGCAGCTGAAAGCTCCAGCTGCTTGATAATATGCTGTAAGTATAGGATAAAATACATCATTGATTGACCATATTCTACATTACCTGCTTCCTTTCCCCAAATTTTCTTTTAAAAGGTCTGGCTTGTGCCTGGACATGGTTCCAGAAACTCTTCTGCATCTTACCCATTGACTCAGTATTTCGTGCATACATTCAATTGCAGAAGGTAAACAACTGAGCTTAATTTTATCCACAATTAGTGCCTGGATAGATATACACTCGGCACGGATCATTCGATAGCCTATGGACTTGCCCTACACTTGGGAGAACAGACCAACTCTTTTGTACATTCCAGTGTTTCCTAACTGAAATCAGCCAACTTATGATAGACCAGGAATTAAAGTCTACTCCGCCATTCAGTAGGATTACGGCTAATCTGACGTTCCTCGCATCTACTTTCCTGTCCTTGCCCCATAACCTTCGACTAGTGACTAATCAAGAATCCATCTTGGCCTTAAATACACACAAGGACTCTGCCCCATAGCTCACAAAAGACAAGGAGTTGCAAAGACACTCAACCCTCAAACTTATCCTCCTCTCAGCCTTAAATTGGCACTGTTTTATTCTGAGACTGTGCCCTCTAGTTCTAGACTCTTCCTTGAGGGGAAACATCCTCTGAGTATTTATCCTGTCAAGCCCCTTAAGAGTTCTATATTCAGCTTTTTATATTTGTGAGCCACAACTGAATCTGGCCCCATAACACACACAGGCAGTACATTCTGGGTTCTAATTACCTGCTGCATACATAAACATTTTTTCTCTCGTAGTCCCTTAGGTTTTTTAGCTAATCACCTTAAATCTGTCCTCTCCTTAAGAACAGATTCGCTATTTTCTTGTTTTGACCCCTCATAATTTTAAGTGCTTCTATCAAATCCACCATCAACTTTCTCGCCTCTAAGATCAGCAGCACCTTCTCCATGCAACTGAAGTCCTTCAGATCTGGAACCATGAATATCTTTTCTGCATTCTCTTTGATACTCTCTCATTTCTCCTGAAATATGGTACCTAAAATTGAATACTAATTCAGCTGAGGGTAAACCACATGAGGTTTTGTAAAAAAATTATGCTTTTGCATAATATGATTTTTATTAAAGTGCCTGGGTTCGCATGTGATGTTTTAACTGCTTTCTCAATTTCCACTGCGATTATCAACAATTTGTTCACATGTATGCCAGGTCTGTCTTGCTGCTGAATCCCATTTAGGAACTTATTTGACATCTCCTTGTTCTTCCTAGCAACAATATATATATATTTGCACTTCTTTGCATTATATTTAATATGCATCTGTTTATCCATTCCACCAGGCTGTTTAATATCCTCAAAGTCCATTACTTACAGTTCACTATACAAGATGATCAAAGAAATGAATTATTGTAAAGTTCAGGCAGTTACTGACAGGGTTTAAAATTCCAGTACACAAGAGATCATTCTGAAACATCATTCTAAATGAAGGCAAAGGGAGATGGTAACAGTGTAAGATACAACATAAAAAAAATCTTTGAAAGGTGCTTGAAATGATTCAAGACAAACCTTGGCAGAGTAGGTCTTGACTGGAGGGCAACTTAAGACTCCACAGTTTAAAGCAAAGTGGATGAGTGGTTCTACTTCCTCCAAAGCAATCTGAAAAAGGAAAAGTTATCACATTTAAAATAGAAAGCAGAGGCAGAGGTCAGAATGGGGCAAGGAATGAAAATGACAAATGACTGGTAGATTAGGGTCGTTCTTCAAGACTGCACAATTAAATCAGTACTTAACCTCGAAGGCATGTTTGTGACTTCAAAAGATGCGGTGCTAACCCTCAATCTCGTTAAAAAATATCTGTGGCAAGAGACAAAATTTGAATTAGGCACCTCACAGCCTTTTGCTGTGAATATTGTGTTCAACAGTTTTAAATTCTAACCTTTACTCCTGTTTTATTAGATGTCAGATCTTTGTAATGTTCTTACGAATATCTCTTGACCACATTTAATTCCACTGATTGTTTCATTTATTTATTCTTTAACCGGTCCTCACTTTTTGTGTTGCATGATCATCCCACTGTCATTTAGTCTCTCCTGTCTATCAGACATTTCTTTATGTTCTTCCTGCTGTCCCTTTTCCGCAACTGCCATACTTGCTCACCTGTTAAATCTCAAACAGTTTTAAGTTATGCTAAAACAGTACCGATCTCAATCATCAACTTTATTTTGCTCTACTATTTTGCTGATTTTTTCTGGCCTTTTCTGTTTTTATTTTCTTTAAATCATTTGTGGGATATGAGCATCGCTGGTGGGCCAGCATTTATTGCTTGTCCCTAGTGAGAACGTGGTGGTGAGCTGTCTTCTTGAACCACTGCAGTCCAAGCGCTGTAGGTTGACCCACAATGCCATTAGGGAAGGAATTCCAATGATTCCAGTGATACCCCAGGTGAGTGGTTTGAAGAGGAACTTGCAGGAAGTGGTGTTCCCATGTATCTGCTTCCCTTGTCCTTCCAGATGGAAGTGGTCATGGGTTTGGATCACATTTCAAATGTTTGAAAACGCAAAATAACTTAAATATGTGCCAAATGCACAATGATGAAATATCATCCTGTGCATGAAAGGGATTTTGTACAAAAGATTGGCTTCAAAAAAGCTTGGCACATCATTATGATCAGCGTACCAAGTCTGTTGGGTGTTCTCTATCCAACGCACCTCACTCAGCAACACCTGAAAGAATGTTTTAAACAACTCGACTGCAATAACAGTTGGTATCTGCCAGGCATCCTCCATCACTTTGTAACTAAAATTAGTAATAGCTTTATTTATCGTGAGGCAGCACAGTGGGATAGTAGTTAGCACTTCTGCCTCACAGTGTCAGGGACCCGGGTTTGATTCCATCCTCAGGCGACTGTTTTGTGTGGAGTTTGTATGTTCCCCCTGTGTCTGCATGGGTTTCCTCCCACAGTTCCAAGATGAGCAGGTTAGGTGGATTGGCCATGCTAAATTGTCCATACTGTCCAGGGATGTACACACTAGGTGGATTAGTCATGGGAAATGCAGGATTACAGGATAGGATGGGGTGGGTGGATCTTGGTGGGATGCTCTTCGGAAGGCCGGTGTGGGCTGAATGGCCTGCTTCCACACTGTAGGGATTCTATGGTTCTATTGTCATGTACTCAAATGAGTACATTGAAAGGATCACACCATCTTAGGTGCAAAGGTACTTAGGTACAGATTCTTAAGGAAAAAAATAGAAAAATAAATAAATAAAAAGTCCTTCATCACAGATCTTAGGAACAAATTAGAAATAATAATGAAATAAGAAGTTCAGAATAACAGTCTTTTCAACCCAATTCACTCGGGCACCTGGCTTCTAGTCTGCGCCAGGCCTTGATTCCAGACCACACTGGGCTTCATCTGCAGGCCAGGAGACCACATTGGAATCATCTTGAGGCCTCAAGTCCATGCTGAGCTGCCAGGATACTGTCACGTCGGGCCGGGAGACAGCCACGTAGGGCTGAGAGATTGCCATGTTGGGTCTGCACTGCCAGGAGTTCAGGAAATCGCTGAGAAAGAAAAGAGGAAAAATAAAGAAAAGGAAGGAGCAAACAAGGCCCAGCTGAGGAGTCCTAATCCACCAAGATCTTGGAATCACTTTGTAGTAGAATCCATGGTGAACCACCATTAATGGGGAGCTGCAGCATACAATCAAATGTATGAAAAACAATAGTCAGTAGTCCTGATTGGAGAGGCGTTCCACCTTTGCTACTCTTGATCATATCAAGACTCCATGTGCTCATCCTATGGATCTGGGAGGGAAAAGATCCCTATCAAACCCATTTTCCCACACCCAAAAACATCACCGCCATCTCCAGCCATAACGACTTCAGGAATTTGACAATTGTAATTATTTTCACAAAACAATATAAATCATACTGTAATTATCTATTAAGTTATCTCCTTCCTGCCCATAGCAGGACAAATGCATTCTCCTAAATGGCCTACTTCCTGTGGCTGAGGAAATCGACTCGGAGATGCAATGTGGCTTTAGGCGTGCCAAAGGAACCTCTAACTTAGTGTCTGTTGCCATACATTCCAAAGGAAGTGTTGAAAAGAAAACCAGGAACTGTTCATTGGACTAATCAACCAGATCAAGACATTTGAAATAGCAAATCTCAAGGCTCTGTGGATTATGTTCCAAAGATTTGGATGTCCAAGTATCTTCACAGTTCTTTAAATCTTTCATGATGTTAGAAGAAATATTTTTAACCAACCAGTTCAACAGGTTATGGCACATGACAAACTCTTTAATCTTGGTCACTTGCATGCAAAAACTATACTAGGCCCCACAGATATACGTGAAATGTAGTTTGTGGATAATTGCAGTTCCGATGCCCACTCCACTCCAGATTTGCAAGTCACTCTCACTCTTCAAGTCGGCATTCAAGAAACTCAGCCTGTCCTCAACTGTTGCCAGAACAAAACCTGTATTTGGTCACACCTGGTCAGCCAAATATTCCACCTTTCATCTGTGCTAATGGAGAAACTCTGGAATATGCTGTGCGCTTCCAATACCTCAGCAACTACCTTTCTCTAAAGGCCAGCATTGATGAGAGAATCGACTGCTAGTTAAGGTAGGCCAGTTCAACCTTCAAAAACTATGGCACAGAGTGTTTGTCAACAAAGACTTCCATAAGTGAATGAAAGTACAGAGTAGTTTTTGTTAACAAGTCTCTGTAGCATAGTGAGGTCTGGATTGTGTATCAGCAATAAACAAGCGTGCTGGAGAAATTGCATCAGCTATGTTTCCACCGTATCTTCTGAAGTAACTAGAAGGACCAGATCCACAGCATTCAGAGGACACTCCTGAAACAATAGGTTTGATAGATTAGCTATCCTTTTCTGGATACTGAAAATATTCTTCCCCACTTGGCTTTGTTCTCTCAATTCTCAAAATGCCAATGTTTCAGGTCAGGACAAAGAAAACATTTCAAAGACACTCAAACTGTCCTTGAAGTGTGGCAGCATTGACATTAATGACTAGGAGGAACTTGCTGTGAATCACTTAGAATGACAACTATGGCATCAAGCGTTGAGATTCAATGCCTTAATAATAAGATGGAGTGACAGGACAGAAGGAAAGGCATCCTGTCTAATGTGCTCAAAGATCTATGCGTCAAGATATAGTTAATTCAGTCACGTGAAGAGCCAGGTGGAATCTTACAACAATGACGATCGAATGTCAATAATGACATTTTTTGGAAATTCATTCACAGGACGTGGGCATCACTGGCATTTATTACCTATCCCAATTGTCCAGAAGGTAGATAAGTGTCAACCACATTGCTGTGGCTCTGGAGTCACATGTAGGCTAGGTAAGGATGGCAAATTTCCTTCCCTGATGGACATCAATAAACTAGATGGGTGTTTCAGACAATCAACCCCAGTTTCATGGTCACCATTAAACTCTTAATTCCAGATTTTTAATTGAATCCAAATTCCACCATCTGCCATGACAGGATTCAAACCTGCATTCCTAGATTATTACTGGACTCTCTGGGTTAATAGTCTAGTGATAATACCACCAGGGCATTGCCTCCTCTGGCAATTCTAACAATTATTTTTCAAAACTTATGTCTACAGTATCAACTCTGCATATTTAGATTTTAGAATCAAATCAATGTAAATAAAACCTGTAAGAACAAGTACAAAGAGGCATTTTTTACAGCATTAAAGCAAGCAATTTAATATTAAGTTCAATGAAGTTGTTTCTTTTACTACTATACGAAGTGCCTGTAATATCAAATTAGTATAGTTATGTAACGTACTTGTATAAATTTTCAAAAGACTCATATTTTTGAAAAAAAAATTCTAAAAGATAATGCTAAGCTCTTCAGGTTATCTGAGCTGTTAAACTTCTCATTTTCAAAGCAATGAAGAAAGCTCTGATACTCAAATCAGGCAATTCCAATGAAAGCATCGAACATAAAACATGACCCAAACAAAGATGAAACTGCGAAGAAATATGAAAAAGATTTAACAATTGTAAAACTTCCAGCAAATTATTAAAAATTTGCTGAAGTAATTGCATATAGGTTGTGATGAATAGAGCAGAACACCAGCATCTTTATCATTTATTTAGTTTTGCACTACATGTGGAAGTATCAGTGATTACTTAGGAGACAAGTAAGTATGGTGATGATGGCTCGAAGATTAAGAGTAATTTCCTGCATAGTCAATTTGAAAAGTACTTATCAGCTCCTTTACTGTAATATTTATAACGTGCTTTTTTAATCTTAAAATTTAGTTGGATTAGAACAATTATTGAAATAACATTACCGTCTGCCTCGAATCAAATTCTCAGTTTAATATTTGAACTGCTTGGCTGCATTGGGTAGATATAGCTAACTTTTAAAGATTGCTAGGTTATTTTGATTTCCAGTTTGCAAGGATTTGCTAATAGGAGTTGATGAAACTTAAAACAGTTGCATCTCGAGCAGGTAGGGCAGGTATTTGCATATCTTGTGATGGATTTCTGTCCAGTTTTGTAATTTTGACATTAACACATTCTGGGAAGAACAAAAATGACCAATCTATAGGTAATTATGTATAAAAGAAATCACCTACTGCCCTCTCTTATTTATTTACTCAGCAGTACACAGAAAGACAATTAATGACTGACCTTAAGACGTGGATCACCCTTTGAGAATGGTTTCGATATCTGAGCAATGCCTTTTCGGTTTCCACGAAGTACACCATTTTCAATATCTTGCAATGTATAGACTTCTCCACCAATCACGTAACTTACAGAATTAAAAAACTTTTAAAAAAAATTGCAGAAATTGAGTTCGGGGGATGATTCCAAATACGGCAAGCAAATCAAACCTACTTAGAGCTGTATTTAAATATCAATAAGAATGCTGTGCTAGATTGCTACAGCATTTTCACTCAAGGTCACATGTGATGGCGTACATGAAATGCTATAATTTTTAAAAAATTATATCAATGACCATTGAGGAAGTATCACTATTTACTTTTACATAAAAAACAGGAATGACTCAATGGATTAGAAACTGGTCTTGTACCTGTATGGTCTGGGTTTGAAACCAGGTCCAATTAGTGGTATGAAAATCCCTGTCTGCTATAGCAATCACAACTAATTTTTATTTGGTTAGGTTTATATATACAGTAGATATACTTTAAAATTGTTAATTAACTATCCCTTTATGACCACATGGTAGCATTTTATCAAGCAACCTCCAATGTAATGTTTATGAATTGAAATCTGTCATAAATAAACCTGAGGTCAGCAATGGCTTTTGTTTCCATGAAAAGAATAATTGTGGAAATATGGGACATAAAACTAAAAGGCTAGATCAACACCCACATAACTGAGCCAGTCGGTGGGGGTCAGGCAAATTCCTCACTCTGGGAGAATTGGGATGGGAGTTTTTTTTTTAAGGGCAGGAGGAAGACCTCTTTCTTGTCCTAACCTGCAAGCAGTGCTATAAGGACATGCTCACCTCTTTCACTGCTAAAGGCTCAGAAACTCTGCATATCAGTTACATCTGTAAAATGGGTTAAATCAGAGGCTCCCAGTCTTGTTAAGATTATTTAAACTGTCAAGCTGCCTCCGAGGAGTGGGTTGGTCAGTTGCCGTTCACTTTGCCTCTATTAAACCTGGATGTTATTTGAGATGTGTTTGAGGTTTTAAAATTTTAACTTTCAATCTTATGTTGTGCACATTCAGAAAAAGTGCTTTCTATCTTTTTTATTGTATTTCCCTAAATTGACCTTATTTATTGACTTTTGTGCTTGCATACACTTTCACTTCCAGTCACACTCTGGTTACTATCACCTGTATCGTTACCCTGCTCTACTGCCTTGAATTTCTCTTTAACTCTCCAAATCTCTCTCCACTGCAGCCTTCACTCCACTATTTAGTTTGAAGATTTATTTATACAATTTGCCAGCTCTCTGGTCCCAACGCAGTTCCAATGAAGGCTACTGCTGTTTCTCCAGTACTGATGCTAATGTCCCATGAATTGAAACCCACTTCTCCAACACTAATCTTTGGGCCATGCATTTAAGTCTCCGTTCGTATTTACCCAATACCAACTTGCTCATTGCTCAGATAGTAATCTAGATATTATTACCTATGTGGTTCTGCTTTTTATTCAGTCCCTAGATCTTCTGATTCCCTCAGCAGAGCCTCCTTGTTATTCCTACTGATGTCACTGATACCCACGTGGACCACTACAAATGTATTCTTCTGCTCCCACACAATGTTCCCATCCAGCCCTGAGGTGATATCCTTAACCCCGGTGCCAGTCAATTATCACAGCCTTAAGGACTCAGGCTCTTGCCCACAGCGATCCACTATCTATCCTGCTAACAATACATTTCCCTGCAACAACAACAACATTGCTTTTCTGTGTCTCCCCAGAATGGCATGGTCAGATTGCTCATCATCTCTGCAGTCCTTGCTCTCATTCATACAAGCTGCATCTGCTAAACCTATTGCACAAATTGCAAGCACTGAGGCTCCTCCACTGTTAACTTCCAGATTAAGATACCTGCCTCCTTTACAGTCACTCCTCTTACTAACCACTTAGTACCTTCCAAACTCTTCCCTACATAACCATGGATTTGGGGGGTACAGGGCACAAATGTAAAATTTCCAAGTGACACATGTAATAACTGGTGTTATTACAAATAAATAACAAATGGTTGGCGGAACAATGTAGTAAAGTGCAATGTAACTCATTTAGGTAGGAAGAGCAAAAAGAAATGATATATGCTAAATGGCATAAAAATACCAAGGGGTCAATTTGCACAAATCTCTGAAGAAAGCAGAACAGTTAATCAAAGTATAGCGGGTGCTGGGCCTTAGAAATAAAGGCAGGCTATAAGATAGGAATTTGTATTAAACTGCTATGAAACACTAGTTTGGAGAAAACTGGAGATTTGTGTCTAATTCTAGGCATCAAACATTAGGCAAGATCTGATGACTTTGGAGAGCGTACAGAAAAGATTTATTAGAATTGTTCTGTGGATGACGGATCATGTAAAGGGACTACACGAATCTAAGCAAACTGGAGAAGGTTTGATAGGCATTAAGTTGTTGTACCGAAACCTTATGCGATTTTAAAGTGAATATGTTGCCATTGCTGCAGGGTTGATCACGGGGGGATGTGGATTTAAGTTGTTAGCAAAAGAATCAGAGCTAACATAGGTAAATCATTTTTCTTCAATAAGTAATTGAGCACAAGGGAGCCGGGTTTGATTCCAGCCTCAGCTGTCTGTTGAATGTGCACATTCTCCCATGTCTGTGTGGGTTTCCTCTGGGTGTTCCAGTCTTGCCCACAGTCCAAAGATGTGCAGTTAGGTGGACTGGCCATGCTAAATTACCCATAGTGTCCAGGGATGTGTAGGCTAGGTGGGCTAGCCCTAGGAAATGCAGAGTTGGGACAGGGTAGGGCGGGGGTGGGATGCTTTTCAGAAGTTGGTGTGGAATTGATGGGCTGAATGGTCTGCTTCCACACAGCATGGATTCTATGATTCTAATTATCATTTGGAATGTCCTACCCAATAGGGTGACAGACAGACTCAGTAGAAGCTGTCGAAAGGAATATGGATAAGTACTTACTTGAAGGAGATAAAACGCAGAGATACTTCACAGACTCAGTTGGCCAGATGACCTCCCTGTGTTATACTATTTTATATCAACACAATGAAAAACCTCTTCAAATGTGCACAAGTCACTTTGCGAAACTTTCTAACCCTGCTCAGACATGAGGCTCCTTCATGAAACACCCGCTAATAGATGTGGAAGTTGTTATTCATTGTGAAATAACAGGGGCCAAGAATTTCACATCTTACTTTATATCTCTGCCACATATTTTTTGGTGATCCTTGTTTAATATTTCCATGAATCACTAATGCATTGTATATATTGATGAAGAAAGCTATCTTCTCTTTCCTCGTGAGGCTTTCAACATCCATGCGTTGTAGTTGTGTTGCAAGTTCACAGTACTCATCAAAAACTGGACTGTTCGCCATGGATTTGTAATCTACAAACTACAATATAAAAAAAAGAAAGTGTTATTGATCAATCTGCTGCAGTTACTCTGCAATTTTGGATTATATTTTGATAAAGAAACTTTTATTTCGTAATTGCGTCTCAAGTCAAGCTACAGTTATTCATTAAATCATAGCCATAAACATTGTCATGAAGTCCAAGTAGGCACTTAATATTTTAAATTTCTATTACTATAACTAGAATCAATATTGAGCATTTCAATACTAATTTAACAATGTATGGTGAATAGTAAATGTAGAATATTTTTCAGGAAAAATAAACTGACTAACCTTGCCATCAGGTGTAATGTGTTCCGAGAATAGCTTCAGAGTTAAGTCTCTCATAGCTTCAGAATGTTTAGAAGCTGAAGGACAACAGATTATGCAGCAGGTTAACATTTAAAAATGAACATGAGAAATTGTTAAGTTATTAATACAATTGTTCTTTTTAGGGATTGGTGGAGGGGGACTGTACTGGTTAGGGGAGCACTTCCCTTTGTCTTATTTATGCTCGTTTTTTGCCTTTAGTTGACATCTTACCTTCAATGTGCAGAAAATGTGAGTAAATGCCCAGATACTATTCTGCAACAGAATTAATTAGCAAACTGTTATACCATGTGGTCATAACTGCTCCAAAATTCAGCTGTTGCTTTGGAAATTCCCTTAGTTTATTTCAGACATAGAAATATCTGCTGCATACTTCCAGCATTTTCTGGTTTCACTTCAAGTCCCCAGTATTTGCAGGTTTTATTTCTGTTTTTTTTTATTATCCCTGTATGTTTCTTTCCATTTTTAGTCCACCTACTTCCTAAATAAAAAGGTATCATTTACTTTGACAATCTCAGATGCTTTACATTAAGTTCCAATTTAAACTTTAGCCAATTCAAAACTTTGATGTCCCTATCCTAATTTGCACTAGGTCCTATCTACCCAGTACCCCATGCTCACCAACTTACATTGACTCCCAAACTGTTAACACTGCAATGTTAGAATTCTCTTCCTTGTTTACAAATTCTTATGTTGCCTCACTTCTCCCTATTCTTGTAACCTCTGGCCTTCTGAATCACACGATTTGCTTCACTCTGGTGTGTCTTCAAATTGTAAAGGCTCTAAACATTGGAGATTTAAAAGCACTTGTCTCTTTTAAACACATATACACACCTTAAAACCCTTTTTGACAACATTCATGAACCTCCTTGGACATTTCACTATGTTAATTAAATGCACTCTATAAATGCAAGTTGTTGTTGGTAGGAGTTTAGCTGGAAGTGTTCAACATCACATGATCACTCTTCATTTCTTTGGTGGCTTTATTGGGAAGTTGCCATGTTCTGCAACTTCGTGGTAATCTACATTAGTAAGGGAAGCTTATGGTTCATCGTAAGGGTTGAAAATATCAGAAGGTCTAGAAGTATATATAAAGTGCAGGGACTTATTCAAAATAGAAATTAGAAGAGCGATGAGGGGCATGAGAAAACACTTAGAGGAAAATCCAAAAGCATTTTATATTAGGGGCAAAGGGATAACCAGGGAAAGTGTGGTCCCGTTACATACCAAAATGGCAATGTGTGTATGGAGCCGAAAGATGTTTTGGCATTTTCAATAAGCATTTTGCATCTGTATTCACTAAGGAGAAGGATAGCGTAGGTATAGAAATCAGCAAGTGGGACTGTGATAAAATTGAACCAAATTATCATGAAGGAGGAGGGGCATTAATGGTTATAGAGAGCTTAAAATTGGATAGATTGCCAGGGTCAATGAGATGTGTCCCAGTTTGCTGTGGGAGGCGAGGGAGGAGATTGCAAGGTCCCCGACATTAATCTTCAAATCATCTATCACCACAAAAGAGGTGCCAGAGGACTGAAAGATAGCTAGCATGGTGAAGAGGGTGTGAGGGATGAACCAGAGAAGTATAGGTCCTGACCTGCTGTGCTCCTCCAGTCCACATGTTATCGACTCTGGCCTATAACTGCTCCTACATCTTATGATTAGGGGAGGTGATGGCCTAGAGGTATTATCGCTGGATTGTTAATCCAGAGACCCAGATAGTCTTCTGGGGACCCGGGTTCGAATCCTGCAATGGCAGATGGGGAAATTTGAATTCAATAAATACCTGGAAGTAACAATCTAATAACGACTGTGAATCCATTGTTGATTGTTGGAAAAACCCATCTGGTTCACCAATGCCCTTTAGGGAAGGAAACTGCCATCCTTACCTGGTCTGGCCTACATGTGACTCCAGACGCACAACAATGTGTTTGACTCTTAACTGCCCTCTGGGCAATTAGGGATGGGCAATAAATGCTGCCTGGTCAGCGATGCCCTCATCCCGTGAATGAATGAAGTGAATAAAAGGATCTGATGGTTTGGGTTTTTTACTGGCCTTGTTAATCTGTGGGGCAGTTTGTAGTGACTGCTCTAATTATACTTTTGAGATTTTTGTGTTCTTCAATCCAGCCTACATCCACAACTTCCAAGTAATAAGTGACATTCTCAATCTTCCCAGCAGATGGTACACTCTCACTACGTGTGCTGAACTTCACTTGCCAATTATTTTCCCATTCTGCAAGTTTATTAATGTGCTTCTGTAATTTGCCTCTCAGTCCTGAATATCCCTTCCCCCAATCGGACATCGTCCTCAAAGTTAGAAAGTTGGACAGGGATGGTAGCAATGTTTAAGCAAACATATTGGAAATATGTATGCAGTGGTTGACAGTAAGGCTTCTTAGATGGAAGTTAAAATTATTATTGCTTTGATATTAAAATCACTTGAGTGCAGAAAGAGAAACCCAAATTTACTACTAACAGAAATCAATACATTTTAAATGTTATCCATCACAATTGTGAAACTCTTGCTAATCAACCTTGCAGTAGATGTCAGTAAAAGAGGTACAAGGCATTACTTACCAGAAACTGCATCATACTCTGCTGTAGATCCAGTGTTTAGTGATGCAGTAAAATCATGCTCTATCAATCTGTATAGAGTGTCACTGTCTTCAAATTCTTTTGCACTCAAAGGACTTAAAAACTTCTTGGCCATCAAATCTTTCGCTATGTCAATTGCTGCAGCTTTTTCTATGTTAAATAAAGATTCATCAGCAAAAGGTACAAAGTATTCATTGTAGAATGCTTAATAATCCAAACACATAACAGATTCAAACGTTATATTAGTATTTTTGCTTAAAAATGATCACATTGGTTTTCCCTACCACTCTTCTGCATATGAATATTGATGGCTTTTCTACTTCCCAGTCCTTCACCCTTCCCCTCTGCTATGGGAAGAAAAGAGATTACCTTTACCTGTTTGTTCTTGAAATAAAAACTTTGACCCTGAAACTTCCATGGAATAGAATTCAGCAATACAGAGATTAGGTAGGAATGAGGAACTGAAGTAGAATATCAACCATGATCTTATTGAATATTGAAGCACATTCAAGTGGCCATTTGGCTTACCCAACTTCTCATGTTCTTTTATCTTTCCTCTAAAACCATCTCCTTTCCTTTTTTCCCACCTGGAAATTTGTAATTGAAGGGTTCCTCGAGAATCCAGCATGTATGTCACTTGCAGTAACTGAAGACATACTATAATTAATAGCTCAGCATTGACACTATTACCCTCCTTTATCTTTTTTAAAATTCATTCACAGGATGAAGGCATTGCTGGCTAGGCCAGCATGTATTGCCCATCCCTAATTGCCCAGAGTTAAGAGTCAACCACATAGCTGTGGGTCTGGAGTCGCACGTAGGCCAGACCAGGTGAAGGTGGCAGTTTCCTTCGCTGAAGGACATTAGTGAACAAGATAGGTTGTTCTGACGATCACCAATGGATTTTAATCTTATGAATTTGGATGTAGGGTCATCATTACATTCTTCATTTCAGATTTTTTTTGCACAATCTACTGTGGCTGGATTCAAGCTCCAGAATATTTATTACCTGGGTCTCTGGACTAACAGTCCAGCGATAATACCACTAGGCCACTGCCTCCCCTAAATTGTTCACTGATTGATATAGGGAACAGGAAACAAAATGCAGTTAAGGCAACAATCATGTTGACCACGATCCTAATGAATGGCACAGCAGACTTGAGGAGCCAATTGGCCTACTCCTGCTGCTATTTCTTCTATTCTACGTTATGTAGAGCATTCTGCATTTGGAAATGGGAGTGATGGGAAATAGAACACCATTCTATAATGGTCACATACAGTCAGAATAAAGCATTCCATTATATATAGTGCAATGTTAAATGCAGCATTAAAGGTTTCTCTGCTCTGTCCCACCTCAAAGGCACATAATGTTTCAGTTTAATTTGCTTCAAAACATAGTCTCAGATATGAAGTAATGATGTGCTAAATCTATCAGTTTTCCATTTCAGTCATTCAAAATGGGACACTCCATTCATAAAATGTTGCGAATCAAACCACCAGCTATCAGTTTGTGCTTAAAATAACCATGAGTTTTTGTGTAAAAATCTGAATGAGGCACTTCTTGGTAAAGTGTTAAGATTAGGTAATTGAACAAGAAAAGATTTGCCGAACACTGCAGACTGAATTGTATTCAAACTTTGACTACTTTTGCACATTGAAAAATAATTTTTCTTTTTGATATCTTTTCACTGCTGTTTCCTTTTTAGAGCACAAATGAAGAACATCACGTTGATTCTCAATGGATCTGTTAAAACATACATACATCTATGTTCTGGGATTCTTGCAAATAATATACCAAGTACTGCAAATTGAAATGTTGTGTTAGAAAAGTCTGACTTTGTCTCTCTTTACCCTTCCACCACCAGCCCTTAATCTGCTACCCTGCCATCTCAGTATTCACATGCAAGAGAGATGATCCACACTTTATCCATTACCAATATTGGCTTACACACCCCTACACGTAGTTCTGCTATAACGTGTGTTTTGTTAACGCGAATTGGCTGTAACGCGATTGATGAATAGTGGAGATAACAAGATGTACAGCTGGATGAACACAGCATGCCAAGCAGCATCAGAGGAGCAGGAAAGTTGACGTTTTGGGTCTGGACCCTTCTTCAGAAATTCTCAGAAATGAATAGTGGATGCTGTTTCGATAACGCAAAGTTTCTGCTGTAGAGGTACAGCAATTTTTTGTGGGATTTCCCTATAACGTGATTTTCTATGGATTTTTCTATAGCGCGATTTTCTATACCATGAGGTCATGCAAGAATGCAACTATTGCGTTATAGAAGAATTACCTGTATATAATTATTTCAGTGGCAGGACTTTACAGGTGGTGGAGATTCTTGCTCTTTCCAGCGGAAGGATTGTTGAAAAACCCAACTTGTTCTGAGGAGGGAAGCTGGCACACAGCTATTAAATGATCTGAGGAGTGCTAATTGGCTTGAGATGTGTCTTCTGCCCCATCAGGGAGAAACTCCCATGCCCGAGAGATGTGGACCAATGTAATGGGGGCAGCTCTCTACTCTCCTGCCCACCCTCTTCCTGCCGCATGGTTAGTGCTGGTACTGGATGCAGTCCTCAAAGAGGAACAGCCAGGAGTAGAATGACAGGTAAATTGAGGGGATGAACAGGAGATGTCCTCATGGGGTCCAAGATAAGAGGCCCCAGGGACTGGGAGGGGAGTCACAGGGTGCACAGACTGAGGCAGGGGGTGGGGGGTGGAAGGAAAACTCTGATCAGAGCAGGGGATCTATGAAGGAGACTCTCCCCCTGCTCTTTCCACCCCCACCATTCCCAAACGGAGGCCCAACCAGGTTTATCTGTCACAGACACACTCCCACCTCCCGGAAAAAAGTAGCCAGATGAGGAAGTAACGTGCCCATTATTTTGCCACTTGATGGCCTCAATTGGCAGGAGGGTATATGAGGCTTCACCTGCAGCCCATTATAAGGCAGCCAGATTGGGTATGGCTGGGTAGGTGGCAGGACTATCCCAGGATGGCCCCTTCCCAATGTGGCTCTTCTTACTGTCCAACATGCTCCCCCTCACATGCTATACTCCCATTATATGAGGAGGGATTTTCACATTCTGAACATTATCAGCCAACTTCGCTGTTGAAAGTGGCCCCTGTTTCCCCTCCCAACTCCCCGTAAGTATCAGATTCATACTTCAGTTTCTGTCTCATGCCACCTGAAACTGGTGCTGTAAACAATGGAGGGTTACATTAGACAATTGGAAAATCACAGGCAATTTTTTTTTCTGAAAGTGCTGTGTCATGCTGCTGTCTGGAACAAGTTCAACATGCTGTTGAACTGAACAAAGTGGAGATTTGGAAACAGCACTTTGCTACCTTTTCTAATAAAACAAAAACCTACAGTTTAAAACAAAAATTTACTCCCGTAAAAATTGTGCATGCAAAGTGTGGATAAAGAACTTCTACATTTTGATTAATTAATGGTGGCATCTGAGCTCCTGTAAACATGTGACTTGAAGAAACTTCTGAGAATTTTTAAATGTTATCATTGCACAATATCAAACCTCTACGGTTTTGGAGTAGATCTGTAGCTCGGGTTGTGGGTGTTGAGGTTGGTTGGCTCGCCGAGCTGGTTTGTTGTTCCGCAGACGTTTCGTTACCGTGCTTGGTAACATCCTCAGTGCAGTCTCTGATGAAGCGTCGGTGCGTTTTCCCGCCTGGTTTTTAAACTCTGGGGTCCGTTGCGATGGATTGCCTCACTTCCGGGTTTCCTCTGTAGTGGAATGCATATGGGGTCGAGTTCAATGTGTTTATTAATAGTCTGCATCGTGGAGTGCCATGCTTCCAGGAATTCCCGTGCTTGTCTCTGCCTAGCCTGTCCCAGGATCTTGGTGTTGTCCCAGTCGAAGTCGTGGATCTCCTTGTCCATGTGGCTTGAGATGAGTGAGTACTGGTCATGTCTTTTTGTAGCCAGTCGGTGTTCACGTACTCTTGTTGTTGGTTTCCTTCCTGTTTGTCTGATGTAGTGTTTCTCTCAGTCTCTGCAAGGGATCTTATAGATGACATTGATCCTGTCCATGGCGGGGAGTGAGTCTTTAGTTCGGGTGAGCACTTGTCGTAGGGTTGATGTGGGTTTGTTGTGCCACTCTGATGCCCAGTGGTCGTAGAAGTCTTGTGGTGAGTTCTGACGTGTTCCTGATGTAGGGTAGTGTGATGAGTGTGTCGGGGCATGTAGAATCTTTCTGATGCTGTTCCTGTAGGCATCTCCTGACCCAGTTCTTTGGATATCCATTATCCTTGAACACTTGAAAGAGCTATTCCTCCTCCTCTTGGCGTAGTTCCAAGTTGCTGCAGTGTGTTTAAAAGCCAGGCGGGAAAACACACTGACGCTTCATCAGAGGCTGCACTGAGGATGTTACCAAGCACAGTAACGAAATGTCTGCGGAACAACAAACCAGCTCGGCGAGCCAACCTCTGTACGCAATTGAGAGATGGGACATGCTTGTTTGAATGATTTTTCAAATCATGATGTGTACAAGAAGCTTCACCTAGCAGACTCACCAAGGTTTTTGACTTCCATCAGCCAGTTGATTAATTTCTTCCCAGTGAAGGTGTTTTGATGCATTTTTAGACAAGACCAGTGATTGCCAATAATACCACTTTCCTTAAATTCCAAGACCAGGTCAGCATATTCATCTCTTTTGCTTTTCAACTCTGTAAAAGAAGTAAAATACACTTGCATTTTCAAATACAGATGCATTAAAATCACTTTAATAGCATCTACTTCCCAACGTTGAATTCTTATATTTGTTTTCTTACTATCAAATACCATCTGGAATAAACAAGACATTCGGGAACTGATTTGGGGCAGCACAATGGCTCAGTGATTAGCACTGTAGCCTCAAAGCGCTAGGGACCCGGGTTTGATTCCACCCTCAGGCAACTATTTGTGTGGAGTTTGCACGTTCTCCCCGTGCCTGCGCGTTTCCTCTGGGTGCTCTGGTATCTTTCCATGTCCAAAGATGTGCGGGTTAGGTGGATTGGACACGCTAAATTGCCTATAGAGTCCAGGGATGTGCAGGCTAGGTGGATTTGCCATGGGAAATGCAGGGTTACAGGGACAGGGTAGGGGGCTGGGTCTGGGTGGGCTACTGTTCAGAGGGCTGGTGTGGACTAGATGGGCCGAATGGGCTCCTGCTCTGTAGGAGTTCTATGATTCTATCAATTTGATTTATGTACCATTACAAAGTCAAACAATGTGGCAAAACTAAATTATCAAGGTCAAATTAAGCTCAATAATTAACGCTTGTCCCTGTCAATTATACTTCTGTTTCAGGGAATGTCTAAGCCCATTTCACTAACAAAACTTTGCATCAAAGCCAAAGTTGTTTTCTAGCCCTAGCCAACTATTCTTAACCATGTACACGGCTGTCCCTAATCAAGACAGCTCTCTGCTTCTTCCTCGAAAAGAGGCATGAACAGATCCCATCCAGCACAACTTCCTCAGTCCTGAAGAAGGGTAATACCCGAAACTGCTATTGACTGCTGCTTTCCTCCACATGCTGCCTGGCCTGCTGTGTTCTTCCAGCCTCTTGTTTGTCTACCTTGGATTCCAGCATTTGCAGTTTTTTTTTGTCTCCCTTTCACTGAATTTGTTCTTACTTTGAACAACTTCCACAAAATTTAAACAGCATAATTATTCCAACAAATCAGATAAATTTATGTCACTCAAGTTGTGATGAAATCCATTTCCAGTATTCTGCAAGAATGTAACCTTCCATGTACATTCAGTTCCAAGGGAGCTCCATTTGACTGTTTCAAAGTGTTAATGACATGCAATTCTGGCCAGCATAGGGGACAGTAGAGGCTTCCTGCAAGGTTTATAATAGCTGAGTCAGGACAGTTTGGGAATGACCGAAGAAGAGTTCAAAGGATACAGGCAATTGCAGAAAGACAGGCATAGAATTGATGTCGGGAAAGCTGCAATTCATTACAATTCTGAGAAGGCAGTCGAACTACTCATGATTCTGTGTAGAAGAATTGATAAGCAGTCAAGAGCAGTTGAATAATTTTCTGTTAGACCTCAGGAAGCTGTATAAGAACTACCAGGCAGCTACGTGTTGGAGTCGGGGCTCAGGAGTTGAAAAAGGTGGAAGGTCACTGGCTTTGTGTTGAGGGAAGAGGTTAGGGCCTTAAAAGAAGCTTATGAGCATTAATATTTCAGCTGAGACAGTGGGGTGAAAAAGCTCACATATAGTATTCGTTTCGTGTAAATGAACAAGAGCAGAGATCAGGGAAAAAAATTTCTCCAAGTCAAAGCTGTGGCTATGCGTACATGAATGCGTCATAGCCACACCTGCCTCTTTGTGGGACATGTGGAACTGTTCCAACCCTACCTGGGCCCCCCCAACACGTAAATCTTCTCCCGGTACATTAATAATGACATTGGTACTGCTTTTTGCTCTTGTCCAGAATTGGAAAGATTCATTGATTTTACTCCCATTTTCCATCCTTGTCTCACCTTCACCTTACTTGAATTCATTGTTTCCATTTCTGGGGATAGGCTATCCATCAATATCCACTGCAAATGCACAACTCCTCAACCACACCCAAACCCCTACTCATCGCTGACAGGGCCGTCAGCCATGTCTGATCTGTTACTTACACTTCTGCCCTCAACCCTTCTTCCCACACCTCCCTGACCAGCGATAGGCTTCCCCCGTCCTCACTTTCCATCCACCAGTCACTGCATTTTAAGAGGATCATGCTTTGCCATTTCTGCCACCTCCAGAAGGATATCCTTAGCAAACATACCTTGCTCTCTCCTCCAATATCAGCATTCTGCAGGCACTGTTCCCTACACAACATTCTGGTCCACTCTGCTATCAGTCTTAACATTGCCTCGTGCCATCATGGTAATTCCCATTCAATTTCAGAAGTTAACACTTGCCCTTTCACCTCCTCCTTCCTCACTCTGTCTTTAAATCATCTGAGACATCCTCTTGCTCCAGTATTGCAGTTATACCCCTCAATCAGACTACTTCCCCTCGTTCCTTTCTTTTCTATCTTTCCTGAATAAATTATACTCAGAAATATTTAAACCTAGCCTTGTCCTTTCTTGAGCCAGGTCTCTGCTGTTGCCACATCATATTTTGACATGGCAATCTGCACCTGTAATTCCCCAGCCTTATTTACTGTACACCATGCATTACATATATGCACGGCAACTCTGTTTTGGATTTGAGATTTTTCTCCCTTTCTCCAACTTCACCTGTTAAATTATTAAACTCCATGCTAGTGACAGCTATATCCCTAAGCATTTTTCAAGCCCTGGTAAATCTGCGTCAAAGTTTTTATTAAGCAAAGGTATTAAGGAGTATAGACCAAAGACAGGTATGTGGAGTTGTGGTACTGATCAGCCATGACCTTACTGAATGCTGGAACAGGCTCGTGGTGCTGAATGGCTTACTCCTGTTCCTACATTCCTCTACCATTCTCTCTTGGTTCCCAGATCCCTGCCAAATCTGATTAAAACCCTCCCAATAGCACTAGCAAAACGCCTGCAAGGACCTTGGTCCCAGCTTTGTTCAGGTGCAACTTGTCTGTCTTCAACAGGTGCCCATCTTCCCAACAGCCAGTACCAATGTGCCAGGAATCTAAAATCCTCACTCCTGCACCATTTTTTCCCAGACACAAATTCACCTGCCTTATCCTGCGATTTCTGTACTCACTTGCATATGGCACTGGGAGTAATCCAGAGATTAAAACTTTGTGATCCTACTTTCTAACTTTCTACATAGCTCCCTAAATTCTGATTGTAGAATCACATCCCCTTCCTACCAATGTCATTGGTACCGACATGGACCACAAGGATTCCCCGCTACTATGGTTAACAGGGACCTTTCCATGTGCGACCCATCTCCTGCACTGCTGCCCTCAAAACTTCCCTTTCCTCCCACAACAATGATAGTGCCCCTTTGGTCCCCACTTACCACCCACCAGCCTCTGCATCCAAAAGATGGTCAGCTGCCAGTTCTGTCACCTCCAATTGGATCCTGTGACATATTCCCCTCCCATTCCTTGTCAGCATTCATTGGGACCATTCCCTCCAGGACACTCGGCAGCACTCCTCCTCCATTCCCAACATCCTCTCACATTCCCATGCCACTGTCCTATGCAAATGCAGAAGGTATAATAACTGTCGTTTACTTTCTCCCTCCTCACTATCCAAGGCACCTGTCATACCTTCCATTTGAAGCACTTCATTCAAACTAGTCTAGTTGACAATGTGGTCTCCTCTACACTGGGGATGCGAAACACAGGCTTAGTGATCACTTTGCTGAGTTTGCAAAAATGACCCTGAGCTTTCAGTTACCCGCCACTTCAACACACCTCCGTGTTTCCACACCGACATTTCTGTCGCAAGCCTGCTGTAGTGTTCCAGCAATCCTCAGTATAAGCTCGAAGAACAACGTCTCATTTTCCACTTGGGAACCCTGTAACTTCTAGGACTCAGCATTGCATTCAACTTTTCAGGCTGATTCCATCCTTCCATGACTTTTTATCCATCCCACACCTGATCATGTTAACACACGGGTTGCTTTTAGCACAGTCACCTAGTCCCATGTACTCCTAGGCCCATTATCACCTTATATGAATGGCATTCAACACAGCTAACCCATTTTTTCATTCTTAGCTCTTATTACCACTTATTCAGCTTTCCTTCTCTTCTGCTATCCTTAATCTCCTTGCTTACTTACCCCTTTCATATCTCTCTGGGCTCTTTCTCTACCTATCCATTCACCTCTGCCCTTCACTCCCACTGTTCCCTTTCTCCCCCATCACTACTTTCCCTTCTCTCAGTGGACTGAAGGGCCTTTATCTGCACTTATGAGCTCCAGGACTCTGTTTCTAATTTTCCCAATATCTAGTGCCCCATTCAGGTGGATCGTTCTAATGTTGTTATTTAACAATACTATAATATTTTATAAATTGAGGCATCCTTCATTCAGTCTGGAATATTTCAGGATATATTGAATACTTTTCCGCTTTTAGTATTCAACTGAAAGTAGACCGAATATAAAACAAAGTTAGATACAGTAGCCTGTAATATTTGGCTGGTGTACTCACCTTAATAGTTATATTTAATTATGCATGTTATCTACCTTTCTACTTACCTTCAGTTGCTTTTTTTACAGCAGTTTCTGGTTCAGGGATTGGTGGTGCATCAGGAGGTACCGGATTATTTCTAACTGTGTCAATCAGCCTGTCAAGTTCGTCTTTCGACTGGTGAAAAAAGGAGTGATTTAGTTTCTTATTACTGTACTGCAGTAATCTGAAAAAGGTACATTGCAATGTTCATTTGTAGAGAACTGCTCATAGTTTTTAACCCAACAGAAAGCTGTTGAGACAGTTGTACAAACACAGATGTATTCCTACAAGCGGCCATTCTTAAGATATTGCCATCAAACATTTCAAATTGTGATTATCGGTGGAAATCTTCTGTCCACAAGAAAACTTGCATTCTATTAGGTACCTCTAAAACAAAACTTACTACCTTTGTACTGCCAACTCTTTAGTCATTTATTTTCCATTTCTCTATCTACTCCTCCCTTAGTGAGACAATGACAGCATTAATTTAATAAATCAGTATGCTCCTGTAATAAGTTGGAACATGAAGGAGGAAGTAATTAAAGCATGTCAGAAAGCATGGTGATAATCATGGCAGATTTTAATGGAAGGATGGAATCAGGCTCAAAAGTTAGAGGGGCCTCATTTAATCAGCTGTTAGTGCACTCACAAAGTTTTTTTTTGGATATGCACCTAACTCCATTCACTGTTAGTTTTCATATTTCTGGAACACTGGTTATCTCCAAAGCTGTAATGAAGGGTCATCTAAAACATTAATTTTCCACAGATCCTAATTGAGTGTTTCTAGCACTCACTATTTTTATTTAACTTGTATTGCTTTGCTTTTCTGTGAAAATCACTGCATGTAGATTTTTAACTACAATTTATATTACTCCTTCTTATTTGGTTCAGCATACCGGTTATTAAGTTAATGCAGCAAACACTACGAACATTCAGGCAGCATAGGTGGAGAGAGAAACAAAAATGTTGTCTAGCCTGATGTCTTGCACAGTTTTTTTGTCTTACACAATAGTATGTTGAACCAAGAAGGGCAGAGGCAAATGAACCTTAAAGATTTCAAATACTTTGTAATGTCAGAACAGGTTGAACCAGTTGATTCAACAGAATGGATATCTGTTCTATCTGCTGATGCAGAGAGATGCAAAAAAGATTAAAACTTTCTACACATTAGGGACTATTCACAAACTATGATAGTGTGGAAAACTGCTTTGCTTTTACATCAATGTTGCCAGCTTCGAGTTTATAATAACACACTCCGAACATAGAACAAAATTATCCTTGACAATCTAATTGGGCTGCAACAGTTGAGATGAACCAGTTTGTACTATGACATTTTAATTCAGTGATAGATCACAACACTTTATGGACTTTGAGGCAACTTTTAATTGTCGCAGTATCCATTAACCCAGCACAGTCACTTTGACTTTTTTTTCTCTAATACTAACATTTTTGTCCTTGAACTAAACAAATAAAAGTGCTAGTTACACTGAAGCTTGAACAGACATAATGGAAACATCCTATTCACTTATTGCATTACCATACGATTGTATGTTTATAAACAATTATACCTACCAAATTCACAAAATCATTGTTTCCACCAACATGGATGTTGTTAAAGTAGATTTGCGGTACAGTTAAACGCCCAGTGAGATTGATAATCTGCTGATGTATCTCAGGACTTTCCTTTACGTTGACTTCAACAAATGGGAGACCCAGATTATTCAAGTGAGCTTTGGCCCGTATGCAATGAAGACATCCTGTAATAGTGTAAACCGTAATCCTGCCTTCTAATTCCTGCAGGGCCACTGGCTCCTCCGCCTCCATTTCAGATTTGTGGACTGAAGAATGTATTGCCAATCTGCATTTGTTTTTATCCTGCTGTGGACTTTTTTCACAGCTGCCTTGTACAGTAAGTCATTAACTGTGGCGTATCAACACTGCTTTCCTTGGGTTCCTTCCTTTCCCTGTCCTCGGCAATGAATTCTCAATTTCTGAAAGAAACAATGGTCATAAGTGAGCTCAGATTACAGGGAAAAAAATGCTTGTATTTAAATGCTGCGTTTCACAGCCTCAGGTCATTTCAAAACACGTCACAAAAGTAAATTACTTTTGAAGTGAGATCTCACTTTACCCTGGTACACTCAAGCATAGACAATTAAAAAAATGTTCACTCCCTAAACTCTGTTCTTACTTCCTATAAGCACTGAACATTTTACCATTTTTAGCACAAAAATAAAGTTTATCCCAAGTTGGTAAAATAGTAATATCGTTCTCTAAAACAGAATGGGGAATTGTAGACAATGTATACAACATACTACAATAAATAAGTTGGGATTTCTACATATTTTGATAGTTATACATGTTGGTGCAGATCCTCCCACTGTATTGAGCTGATAGTGTGGGTTTGAATTTTAAAGTTTCCCAATGTTAATCGATTCTGGTGTAAAGTCAAAGAATCCAGCAGAGATGCTGTTAAGGAAGAAGAGCAGACAAATGCATATATCTGAAGGTAGCTCAGTGGTTATGTTACTACATTGTAAATCAGATGTTATTACTGGACAAGTTAGATCCCAGGTTGAAACCTAACTGAATAGATCATATTTGATTTTGTTTGATTTCAACAGTGATCTCTTGATAAAACGTAAGCACAACTGAAGTTTCTTAACAAACGAAATGAAGATAAAATAGAATAAAGCAAACTATCTACTTATAACAAAATTCAAAGATTTTTAAACAGACTATAAAAATATAATCCCATTAATCCTAAAACACTCCTTTATAAACACTCTGTTTATGTCTGGCTAAAGTACATTCACTTTCTTCCTCCAAATCATTAACATTTATTGTAAACAATCATGGTCTCAGCACTGATCCCTGTGGGACCCCACTGCTTACTGGTCACAAACCTGAAAAAAAACTCCTTACCTTAACTCACTGTTTCCTGCCTATTAGTCAATTCTCTATTCTTATCATTATGCTACCTCCAACACCATGGCCTCTTATCTCATGCCTGTTGTGAGGTACAGTGTTGAATGCCTTCCGGAAGTCCAAATACAATAAATATTCTGATTCACCTCTATCCACTCTGGTTAAGATTTCCTCAAAAAACTCGAATAAATTAGTCAGACATGATTTCCCTTCTACAAAACCATGCTGATTCTACTTGATTAGATTATGACTTTTCAAATGTGCTGTTATTGCTTCCTTAATAATTATTTCCGACATTTTTCCAACAACAGATGTTACTGTCTGTCTGTAATTGCCCGTATTTTGCTTTCCTCCCTTTTTGAATAGGGGTAACACATTGGATTCTGGAGAAATACCAGAAAAATGCCAAAGATTTTTAGAAAATTACAACCAAGCATCCACTCTTTTAGGGTCCTATGATGCAAGCCATTATCGTGGACTGTTTACCCACCAGGAACAGGAGGGAGGCAAGTGTTACAAGATCAAAGTGGGTGGCACAGCTGTTACTGTTGATGCATGTGGGGAGATGTCCCCAGCAAGTGAGTAGGCAGGGCAGAGGGCACGATTATTAGTGAAATCAGGGGCTTGTGGTGGGAGACAGTGAGTGAGGAAAGATATTGCAGCCATTAGTGAGAGTGGCAGATCATGAGCTTTAGTAGGAGGTAGGTCAAGTAGCAGAGATACAGTCTGTGTGACGTACCAGAGAGAAGATGGTTGCACTTATCCTGGCAGAATGGAGATCATTGACCTTCTTCCTACAGTGCTGAGCATTCCTCCAGATGGCTGAGACTGCTTTATTCAGGGTGGCAATCGCAGCCTAGGCTGCATGGTCTGGTGTCATGGCCTTCACTGCTAGTCCTGGAGTAAGACAAAGTCCTATTTCTGCACTATACCACCCAGCAGGACCTCTAAGTCCCTTCCCTCAAAACATGCACTAATTTCCTTCTGTCTGCCACATCTCAGTCAGGAATCATGAAGGACAGCTCTGGACTGATAGTGTTTGTCTGGGTGTACAATGGGCTTGCAAAGATGCTGTGGCACAAGGGATGTCATTGTTACAGTGGATAGCTGCTAAGTGGCAAGTTGTTCTGGAATGATGCATGATAAGATAGGGTAGGAATTGGATGGGAGACATGCCACAGGGGCTTGGTAAGCAATTAGTGAGCCGAGTTTGGTAAGATACAGCAAAAAAGCTAGGCCTCAAGGCAAAAAAAAAGTTCAAAACTTAGCCAAAAAAGTAAGATTCAACACAGTTGAACAGATCTATGTCCTAGCCTAACATACCAGTTCACTTCAGCTAGCTCAGCTTTATAGCCACATAGTTGTCTTTATTTAAGTTGAAACGATTAGTCTTAGAACCAATCTTCTCTTTTCCAATTTGAATGTAAAATTCAATCATATTGTGGTTGCATTATCTCTATCATTTCAGTATCATTTTGAGAGTTTATCTTACCTTAATTAAATGTGTTATAGCATATTTAATTTCTTTTTCTGTTTTTTTCATTTCAGATTTCCTCTGCATTTTTGATTGAATACTTTCAGTCTCTTTTCTAAAGTCATCATATTCCCTTTCATATTCCCTTTCAGTCACCTTTATTGTTTATAAACATTGTGAATGCCTTTTTCTTTAGATTTAATCTCACTTTTAATTATAGATGCTATTTAACTAACAAGTGAACTCTACTGATTTCTTATTGCTGCTGTTGATTTATTATGGCACTTTTTTTATTTGCACTCTACCAGTGGAAGGTAGTGTCAACCAGCTCTCCCACCAGTGAGCCAACTGAGTCTCTTCCATGGATAATTATCACTTAACACTCTCACCTCACACAACAAGGATTTAAGTGATAGTGAGAAATGTCCACTCCAAGCATCTAGCTGCTGGGTTTCACTGGACAGGGTAATGGTGAGCAGGTGAAAGGATCCCTAGAGCCCGTTAAATACAACCCTCAAAAGGAGAATCCTGTATCTCCAATCAAGACATTCTACACACTGTGCTAAGTGTCCGTATTAAGAATTAAACATATACAAATGCAATCATAATAACCAATTTTGGATAATTCATCATGTAGGTAATTGAGATAAATGTTGAGATTTTAGCATAGATAACTGTGTACAAACTCGATGTTACAATTTGCCAACAGTTTAAATGCTTTTTAAAAGTTATTTCTTAAAAAAAAAACTTACAGAGCCAACATGTTACAGTAATTTAGTGGATCGGACCATTTAAGACCTGTAGAGAAGGAAACACTGCAAATAAGACCTCTTCAAAATATCCAGTCAGAACTTGTTTTTCTCCAAAATTTCTCTTCTTTCTGAAGACTTATGTAAGTCAATTGAGCGGAATTAGCGGCAACCCAAGTAATGACTTGAAATGTGTTCTGAATGGCCTGCTTCATTTTGAGGAACAAAAAGAGAAATTCCACTAAATTCAGACAATATTCTTAGATTAAAGGACTCACACAATGGCTCTAAATTCCATTCAGAGCCAGCAAATCTAGCTCATCAAGGTCACAGGCACTGAGATTGTTTTCAGATAATGCTGTCTGGACAAGATAAACATGATTGGGGAGAATGTAATGGCACAATAGTTTACCGAGTAACATAAACATTTCTAATTATTTAAGGCTGCAAAGTAAAAGGGAAAAATAGCGAGTCAACAGGCTCAGCTTTTCCCTTACAATGTTATCTCATTTTACATGACTGACATAGAACATAGAACTGTAGAGCACAGGAAAAGACCCTTTGGCCCACCATGTCCCAGCTGACCATGATGCCATTCTAAACTAATCCCATCCACTTGCACACAGCCCATATCCCTCTTTTCCCTGCCTGTTAATTTATTTGTCTAAATAACTCTTAAACATTGCTATCATTTCTGCTTCTACCACCTCCCTTGGCAGTGCATTTCAGGCACATACAATCCTCTGTGTAAAAAAAAAATGCCTCGCACATCTTTAAACTTTTTCTCTCTTACCACAGATCTATGTCCCCTAGTACATGCCATTTCCACCCTGGGAAAAAGATTGACTATCACTCTGTCCATGCCTATCATAATTTTATGTACTTCTACCAGGTCACCCCTGGGCCTCCAACTCTCTAGCAAAAACAATCCAAGTTTGTTCAACCTCTCCTTATCGTTAATTTACTCCAATCCAGGCAACATCCTGGTAAACCTCTTCTGCACCCTCTCCAAAGCCTCCACATCCTTCCTCTAATGTGACGACCAAAACTGCACACAATACTCCAACTGTGGATTAACTAAAGTTTTATACCACAACTTTTATACTCAATGCCCTGACCAATGAAGCCTGCCGAATGCCTTCTTTACCACTTTATCCACTTCTGTTGCTGCTTTCAAGGAGCCATAGACTTGCACCCCAAGGTCCTGCTGTACCTTTGCTCCTAAGAATCCTGCCATTTAGTGTATACTTTCCTCTTGCTTTTGACTTCCTAAAATGCATCTCACTTGTCTAGATTAAACTCCCATCTGCAATTTTCTGCCCAACTTTCCAACTGATTTATATCTTGCTGAATCCTTTGAAAACGTTCCTCACTATTCACAGGTCCACCAATTCTCGTGTTATCTGCAAACTTACTAATTAGACTATTGACATTTACATCCAAATCATTTATATAGATTTCAAACAAGAGATCTAACATTGATCCTTACTGAACACTAATGATCACAGACGTCCAGTCAGAAAAACACCCCTCCTCAACACTCTCTATCTTCTATAACCAAGCCAATTTTGTATCTAACTTACAAACTCACCACGGATTTCATGTGACTTAATTTTCTGGACCAGCATTCAACGAGGGACCTTGTCAATGAAGACACCATCCACTGCCCTACCCTCATCAATCATCTTCATCACTTCCTAAAAAATTCAATCAAATTGGCGAGATAAGACTTCCCCCACACAAAGCCACGCTGACTATCCTTAATAAGTCAATTCTTTTCCAAATGCAAGTAAATCCTGTCCCTAAGAATTTTCTCCAATAATTTCCCCGCCCTGAGGGAAGGCTCACCGACCTATGATTTCCTGGTTTATTCCTATTGCCCTTCTTACACAATGGAAGCACACTGGCTATTCTCCAATTTTCTTATATTTTTCATAACTGACTCTGAAAAGTTGCTATAAAATGAGTGTCAACTTGTTTGGTCAAACACTCAAATAGAAAGATTAAAGAGTCTTTGCAAAATAAAATTTATGAAAAATATGGGGGCCTGAATATTTGCAGAGCACTGATTTCCAGCAGATCCCAATTTTACTGTTGGGTTAGTAGGACAGGGTATGTCTTTCTCACACCACACACAAACACACACTAGAGAAACAAAACAAGCAGGTTCATTTGCACTCAGTACAGAGTTCAAACAGTCTGAATTTTCACTGTAGCAAGGGACTTAATCCATTGTGTGAGAATCACAATTCTTAAGAGCAGGTATAGATTCTCGTAATGATTATGCATGCAAAGTGTTAAAATGCAAAGTTATTTAAATCTCCAGCCCTTTAAAAAGTTTTAAAAGCCTGCCTTTGATGATGACCTTATTGCAAGTATAATAGCTATTTGTTGACATTTCCCCAAGGGCTATCACATCATTGTTAATGCTTAGCTGCTTTTCATTACATATAATGATCTCAGTATAGTGTCCTAACTTCACAACTGCAGTTCAAAGAGGTTATTAAAGGATTTGCTATTACGGTATTATGGGTTATGAATAATCGTCTGCTTGCTTTATAAGGGATTCAGTCTTTGAGGATATTTTATAAAGTGTTGAGTGGGAGTATTCTTTACTCAGATTAAGGTTACAGTCAATATTTAGACCACTATTTTACTTTATTACATCATGGCTCATGGCACATACTAGATAGTTTGCCATGGAGATTGTAAGAGCAAGGTGTAGTGGTAGGTTAGCATGAGTTGGCATTAAGTTGGCATTTAGGTTATAATGGTGTGTGGGGTCATGATTTCGTATTAAGTTGACAAGGTGGCTATATGGGTACATGAGGTAGCTGAAGGGTATGGGTTGACATGAGTTGAAATTAAGTTGCCATAGGGTCTATCAGGGCCATGGGTGAATGGCGGAGAAAGGGTTCGCATTGGACTGGCATGCAATCATGCAGGTAGTATAGGGAGTGGGTGGACTGAGCAATAAGATTTGAGTAGGTGAGGGCTGGATGGCCTTAATTGCAACAAAACAACTGAGAGCATTTAAATGGTCCAAATTAGCATTAACCGGCTCCTATGGCTCCCTGCAATCTGCATTCAGGGGTAGCAGGTGGACTCAGTCTCATACCCACCAACAGCTCCTTCCCTCATGGTGAAATGATGACGACTGCATTTGGGAGAAGTTTCTCCCGACCTGGGAAATTTTCCAAATCATACCATCCACCTTGGAAACGCAAATCCAGGCCTCGGTCTTTCACAAATCAAACAGTGCTGGATTAAAGGAAATTGTAAATCCAGGAGAAATCTGGGAAGTGTCCAAAACTGTATATCAACACTTTCATTTATAAAATTGAAAATAGTAAAACACCAAGTCACGTCTTGGGAACATTATCAAACAAAAAACCGAATAAAGCAAGCCTTCTAATCTAAAATGCGTGATGATTTTGACGAGAGATTCAGCAAATTTATTTGTTGATGTGTGTGTTCTCGTGGTACTGGCCTTGGTAACTGCAAATAATATCATGACCTGGACAAAACAGTTCAAAAAAGCTAAATGTTAGGGGTCAACAAGACTCGGATATAAAAGGTATGTTTTCAATTGAACCATTTCTGTTGTGAAATTGAAGCAAAGTGAAAGATTAAACTAACAATGGTTGACTAATACAAGGTTTACAAATTTACTGACTGTTGTTCTTGCTTCATCTTTAACTGATTTCCCAAAGTATTGCAATGCACTCATTACGTTTCCTGTAATTGTTTTTCAGCTTGTCTTTTGCTCCCTCATTCTTTCTGTTAAACACACAATCTGTTGGTTCTTTTCCACTTTCTTCCTTTTTTCTCTGATTTTCATAGGGAACATACGACCATGGGAAATTGGAGGAGTAGACCATTTGGCCATTCACGTCTGCTTCACTATTTGACTAGATCATGGCTGATCAATTTCTGTAATACTAATTTCCCCGCATTATCCCATATCCTTCAAAGTGCTTAACATCTAGAAATCACACACTTTCTTGTTGATTTTACTAAATCTTATTAACCACTCTCCATTTTACATAATTGAAATGGGAACTGAGTGTACAATTTCTGTTGCAAACAAAATAATTTGAGAGAACAATGCCGATAAAAAGGAACTGTTGGTGTATGCAGTCCTTCTGGCTTTGGTTTACATCATCACTTCTTAATTTAAATTGTTTTCAGCAGGAACTACCTTAGATATCCTAGGTAAATAGTAGAAACTAAAAAGTTGACCTTTTTAAACAAAAATCTAAGTAAAAACATTCACAAGCCTAAGTATATTTGATATCGAAACATTCAACACCATGGTGACTCAAATCATGTTGAAAGAGTTGACCTTAATTTGATAAAGCACTAAATCAAATCTTTTGCAAACTCTTGCATTTATTTCTCACTTTATGTAGAAAACTTGCCTATACCTGTCGTCAAAATAGCAGTCATCAAAATAGTCAAGCTATTGTTTGCTGTAAATGATGAGTTGAATCATATAGGGGTCTCAGCAGTGTGGGCTATAGCGAGATTTGGGACAGAATCAGACAAGGGGCCCACCTTGATGTCAGGAGCACCAGATGCAATATTTTAAGTTATTCGCAAGCAGCATAGTGAGTTTCTTGCTAGGCAGTGCCAAACTGCCAATTAAGGGAGATTATTGCTTGTTCAACATTTTATTGACAGCAACAACTCATCACATTAATATTCAGATTTCTATCTGACCAAACAAGCTAGTTATTGAGAAAACTTGACATGGAAACCAGAGTGAACCCCTGACAAAGTCAGCTTACCACTTGCTCCAAATGACCTCCATGTTGGACACAAGGCATCAACATGTCAAAACCACATGCCATGATTACTGACCACACACACAAACACCAGATCCACAGAGACTGACAGCTGCCATGTGCCAACCTCTAATAAACCTCATGGCACATCTCCACATGCAGGATGCTCCTGAATTCCAATGCTGCACTGGCAACTGTCATTATAATGTTGCATTATAATGCGTGCGCTTAGGAACATGCACCAAGCTCCAGGCTGTATCTC